CAAATTTCTTGTTAGAGGGGTCTAAATACAGCACAAACAACATTTTCCAAAAGACCAAAAAAGTGAAAAAGGATATTTTAAAAAAAGGCATTTGACTAACAGGTCGAACAACGAATATTCTTAAACTCTGCTGACTGCCATTGACGATTGCCAAATAAATTGATCACCAGATGTAACAAAATCTTAATATTAATGTTATACCAAACAGAAAACAATAAACTTGCGGAAAAGATGGTATACCACAAACATGAGGTGTAAAACTTTGTACACCATATCGGGATTTCGACAATTAATGTCTCTTCAGTGAAGTTAGGGATCGAAACGGTATTTGGAAGGCCATGTAATTTCTCTCAATTTAGGATAGAATCTTAATTTCAAAGAGTCGAAATAGGATGAACGGATCATATAAACCCGAAGGAAAATATAATACAAGCCCAAACGAAAAAATACAAACAAGTCTAAATTGAAGACAACGTTCAAACCTATGATTGCGTTGGATAAAAACCGCAATTTTTATACGTGTGCATGTAAAACAAATTTCTTGGTAGAGGGGTCTCAATACAGCACAAACAACATTTTCCAAAAGACCAAAAAAGTTAAAAAGTATATTTTAACAAAACGCATTTGACTAACAGGTCGAACAACGGATGTTCTTAAACCCTGCTGACTGCCATTGGCGATTGTCAAATAAATTGATCACCAGATGTAACAAAATAGATCTTAATATTGATGTTATACCATACAGAAAACAAAAAACTTGCGGAAAAAATGGTATACCACAAACATGAGGTGTAAAAATTGTGTACCCCATATCCGGATTTCGACAATTAATGGCCCTTCAGTGATGTTAGGGATCGAAACGGTATTTGGAAGGCCATATAATTTCTCTCAATTTAGGATAGACTCTTGAATTTCAAAGAGTCGAAATAGCATGAACGGATTATATAAACCCGAAGGCAAATATAATACAAGCTCAAACGAAAAAATATAAACAAGTCTAAATTGAAAACAACGTTCAGACCTATGATTGCGTTGGATAAAAGCCGCAATTTTTATACGTGTGCATGTAAAACAAATTTCTTGGTAGAGGGGTCTAAATACAGCACAAACAACATTTTCCAAAAGACTAAAAAAGTGAAAAAGTATATTTTAACAAAACGCATTTGACTAACGAGTCGAACAACGGATGTTCTTAAACCCTGCTGACTGTCATTGGCGATTGCCAAATAAACTGATCACCAGATGTAACAAAAAGTAAAATCACAAAAATACTGAACTCCGAGGAAAATTCAAAAAGGAAAGTCCTTAATCAAATGGCAAAATCAAAAACACAAACACATCAAACGAATGGATAACAACTGTCATATTCCTGACTTGGTACAGGCATTTTCTTATGTAGAAAATGGTGAATTGAACCTGGTTTTATAGCTAGCTAAACCTCTCACTTGTATGACAGTCGCATCAAATTCCATTATATTGACAACGATGCGTGAACAAAACAAACAGACACAATAGGTAAAAATGTCAAAAATAGGGGTACAGCAGTCAACATTGTGTTATCATCTTAATCACTATAAAAACAAACAAATGTAAATAAGATGTAACAAAATGGATCTTAATATTAATGTTATACCAAACAGAAAACAATAACCTTGCGGAAAAGATGGTATACCACAAACATGAGGTGTAAAAATTTGTACACCATATCCGGACTTCGACAATTAATGTCTCTTCAGTGATTTTAGGGATCGAAACGGTATTTGGAAGGCCATATAATTTATCTCAATTTAGGATAAACTCTTGAATTTCAAAGAGTCGAAATAGGATGAATGGATCATATAAACCCGAAGGAAAATATAATACAAGCCCAAACGAAAAAATATAAACAAGTCTAAATTTAAAACAACGTTCAAACCTATGATTGCATTGGATAAAAACCGCAATTTGTAAACGTGTGCATGTAAAAAAAATTCTTGGTAGAGGATTCTAAATACAGCACAAACAACATTTTCCAAAAGACCAAAAAAGTGAAAAATAATATTTTAACAAAACGCATTTGACTAACAAGTCGAACAATGGATGTTCTTAAACCCTGCTGACTGCCATCGACGATTGCCAAATAAATTGATCACCAGATTTAACAAAATGGATATTAATATTAATGTTATACCAAACAGAAAACAATAAACTTGCGGAAAAAATGGTATACCACAAACATGAGGTGTAAAAATTTGTACACCATATCCGGATTTCGACAATTAATGTCTCTTCAGTGATGTTAGGGATCGAAACGGTATTTGGAAGGCCATATAATTTCTCTCAATTTAGGATAGACTCTTGAATTTCAAAGAGTCGAAATAGGATGAACGGATCATATAAACCTGAAGGAAAATATAATACAAGCCCAAACGAAAAAATATAAACAAGTCTAAAAGGAAAACAACGTTCAAACCTATGATTGCGTTGGATAAAAACCGCAATTTGTAAACGTGTGCATGTAAAACAAATTTCTTGGTAGAGAGTTCTAAATACAGCACAAACAACATTTTCCAAAAGACCAACAAAGTGAAAAAGAATATTTTAACAAAACGCATTTGACTAACAAGTCGAACAATGGATGTTCTTAAACCCTGCTGACTGCTATTGGCGATTGCCAAATAAATTGATCACCTGATGTTACAAAGTGGATCCTAAAATTAATGTTATACCAAACAGAAAACAATAAACTTGCGGAAAAGATGGTATACCACAAACATGAGGTGTAAAAATTTGTACACCATATCCGGATTTCGACCATTAATGTCTCTTCAGTGATGTTAGGAATCGAAACTGTATTTGGAAGGCCATGTATAATTTCTCTCAATTTAGGATAGACTCTTGAATTTCAAAGAGTCGAAATAGGATGAACGGATCATATAAACCAGAAGGAAAATATAATACAAGCCCAAACGAAAAACTATAAACAAGTCTAAATTGAAAACAACGTTCAAACGAATGATTGCGTTGGATAAAAACCGCAATTTTTCTTGTTAGAGGGGCCTAAATACAGCACAAACAACATTTCCCAAAAAACCAAAAAAGTGAAAAAGTATATTTTAACAAAACGCATTTGAATATATACATATATATATATATATATATATATATATATACAACAAACATATATATATTCTGTTGTTCCGTTGTTTTCCTCCAATAGTTGATGTGTATCCCTCGGTTTTGGTTTGTGATCCGAATTTGTTTCAGTTAAATCGATTGATGACTTTTGAACAGCAGCATACTACTATTGCCTTTATATATATAAGGAGATGTGATATGAGTGCCAATGAGACAACACTCCATCCAAGTCACAATGTGTAAAAAGTAAATAATTATCAGGTCAAAGTACGGCCTTAAACACGGGGCCTTGGCTCACACCGAACAGCAAGCTATAAAGGGCTCCAAAATGACTAGTGTAAAACAATTCAAACAGGAAAACCAACGGTCTAGTAAAAAAAAAAATGAGAAACTAGAAAATCTTATGAACCACACCAACAAACTACTACCCCTGTACGACAGGCTCCTGACTTGGGACTAGTGAACACAAATGCAGCGGGTTTAAACATTTGATAAAATTGAGAATGGAAATGGGGAATGTGTCAAAGAGACAACAACCCGACCAAAGAGAAGAAATCAGCCAAAGGCAACCAATAGGTCTTCAACACATCGAGAAAATTCCCCACCCGGAGGCGGGCTACAGATGGCCCCTACACAAAAAAAATGTGAACTAGTTCAGTGAAAAAGGACGTCACACTAAACTCCGAAACATATAAATGAACTAAAATTTAAAAAAAAACCATACAAGACTAACATTGGCCATGGGCTCCTGACTTCGGACAGGCTCTAAAATATTGAACATATTTATAAAATACCATTTCTTTGATTTGTAGATTTCCTTTTTCAGATCAAAAATTTAAAAAAAACATGATTCGAATAGTTGGCATTTTTTAGAGTTTGTGTCAGAATGATATGCCTGGGTAGGCTGACATGTCTTCTGTGAACTATTACTATGTGAACTAGCATGTTAATGTTCCAGCAAGTTTTTTGTCTCTTTAAATGAGCCTATAGCAATATATACCACAATTTCGTCATGTTTTTTCGTTTCCATATATTTCATTATAATTTGTCCTCAGCTAACTGATGACCTTAAAAACTAAATCATTAGTCGCTAGTTCAATGTAACTGTTGTAGGCTCTTGTCTTTTTTCAATTAAATATTAAAAGCAAAAACATAATTATATCACAAATAACCTGAATTATTCGGTGAATCTGCAAAAAAAAAAAAATATTTTAGGGATTGTGTAAAATCCCTAGTCAAATACCGGCATTTTCTAAATTTACTAATCAGTTCAGTGATTTACAAAACTCCTGAAATTTTAGACATTTTTATAAAATCTGTGATTTTACAAAATCACTGTTACATATACACATAATAATGAAATATTTTTAGAAAAATTAAACTACATTAAAACACACATTAACACTGTCAACAGTAACAAGAAAATTAATGAATAAATGAAAAAACGTAAGCGTAAAATGTACTATTCTGGCAACATCTGTTTTTGTTGATTTAGAAAGTAACAACTATTTCAGCAATGTATTGTGAAATGGATTTCAGCTATAACGACTAGTTGTATTCTTTTTTTGCAATTGAATCTCACAGTGTTTTATTGGTGTTATCAATTATATAACATTAAAAAAAATCCACAACGTTCAGTTTGCGAAAGCAAGAGCCTGATAAACAACGAAAAATAATAAGAAAACACCATTGAGAGTTGTAAAGTGTGGTTTTGAAATTCACGAAAAAAGAATGAAATCTTCCCTTTGATTCAGCATAAAAACTTTCAATCTACACACTAGCATATACTGTAATACAATATTCATGATTTAAATCTGTTAGCAATAAGAAAATCTTAATTGTCATCCCTTTAAAAAAGATAATCTGATTGTACATCATTTCAGGTCACATCTTTAATACACAAGTACAGAGCTCGTCTTATACAGGCGCCGTTAAAGGTGGTGACTATAATCCACGGGAAAAAGACAAAGCGTCAAAGTCTAAAGCTTTGGACAGAATATTCCCGAGTCGAATACCGATACCCCGTAAAGGTATTTGTTAAGTTGTCATAGGTTTCAACGTTTAAAACCAGTCATATACATACCATATGTTATATATATTCGCTCTCCACATATAAATCTTATACAACATATTATTAACTCCTCCAAACAAAGTTTGTGGACTTCTTCTTCTTCCTCTTTCCTTGCCTCCCACCCGAACGTATCCACCGCTATCCTTAGAAAAGGATGGTCAAATATACTTCCAATACTACAATATGGTAGACCTACTTGTTTTAATGTGAATTCGAGATTTTGTTAGTGCATAGAGGTCTACAAAGAGACATTATGAAGGTCGAATAGAAGGTAAGGTTTACTTAGGAACTCCAAGGAAAACTTTTATTTCAGTTGAAATTATCATAAAGTGAAAAACAAAAAAGGAATGAAGACTTGGGGTCTTCAGTCGTGATCATGGGTCCATATTGCTACTGTAGGATCCAAAGGTGGTAACCCATGACCTTGATATTTGAAAAATAATATATACATTCTACGAAAACAGTAAAATATATGGATATGGATTTATTGTAAAGAATAAAAATGTTAATAGGACAAAGCAAAACAAAGATAAGGTGAGTTCCCTGTGGCCATCCCTAGCCGCAGCTATTTTTTTATATATACTTTGATATAGATTCGGAATTCCAAACCCCTAAAACATATATATTTTCTTGTTTTTCACATCAAGTTGGATTGAACGATATATATTTTCTGAGTTCCTTATGATCATCCCCATTGCCTGTCATTGCGTTATCAGTTTATTTTCAACTGATAAGTTTGAAAGTCACTTTGGTATCTTTCGCCTCTCTTTTGTTGATGATATCGTGTAAATGGTTCAGATAATTTCCCGTTAGCCTTATTATATATTCTTACATCAAGAGAATTTTCTCGAGGGGTCATTCATGCACCTCTACCATTTGATAATTTTCAAAAATCATGTAAAAAATTGAGGTTCCCGTCAGGTTACAATGTGTTTATCTTGTTTGAAATACCAAGATGCATTAAATGAGATAAAAGGTAAGTCCCATTGGGTCAACTATATCCCTTCAATTTAAAATGTTAAAATATATAGTTTGATATCCCCAGCCTTTAACCATATATTATCTTGTTTATCGTTGATTTGACTTGGACATTATTAAATGATCATTGCAGGCTCTTATATATGAATAAGGCTTTGTGATGTTGTTTTGTCAGTTTTATCACCTTGAATGGAGTATATAAGGTAACATATTTCAAAAGCAAAAAATAACGAATACATTATTTCAAACAATTATACTTGTATTGTTCTGCCCGTTAGAGATCCCCTGAATTACCAATCACTAATAATAAAAATGTCGTGCTTAATAGGTACAAAAATCTCCGATATCAAAAAGCCAGATGGCGGAAGAGGCAAGATTAAAGAAACTTTGATTACAGAATCCTTGACGGACAGAAAAATATCAGATGAGGAAATTATTAAACTTGTCCGCTCTGAATGTAATAAAGGAACTTACGAAATGGTAGTTGTACCCATAGATTTGTGGGATTTTGGAGGTCAAAAAATATATCACATGACTCATCAGCTATTCATATCAAGTAGAGGTGTATTCATCTTGATTTTCAACGGTGGGGAAAAGATTCAACAAGAAGACGGAGGTATGTAAGCGATGTTCGAAAATCAAATAAGTATTCTTTTTGAATAAATGATGTTTATGAGGCACTTTTTATTAAGAAATCCAAAAGATCTACGAATTGTTTTCGTTGTTATATATGAATCTTGGAATTGTTCTAAAAAACGCAACTAACCTTACATTTTATTGACAGGGTAAAGGGACTCTTAATTTCTGTAACATTTGATTATGGGGTTAACGAATACCACCTCGAAGCAATTGCTTACTATTCAAGTATGTTGTCATCTCAAACAGATACAGCGACTTTATACTTAATCAAATTATAGATGATAATTGATTGTTATATATTACAGATATACCCTGCCTCTCTATGAATGTATTCTAGGTAATGAATGTCATGTCATGTTGGTGTAGTCAATACAAATTCGAGAAAATAAATCAAATTAAAGATGACGATGCTAGTTTCAAAACAGGATATCTAAAATGCTTTAGTATTGATTTTTCCGTTTGTTTAATTTTGAAAATGAATATGAAAGCAATTGGAATTTGTTTTGCTGTACGTACATGTGACTTCAACCTGATATTTTGAGGCTGTTTAAGAGTCATGACTTTAAAATATATAACTTAACAATTTCCGGCATTTATTTAGACTGTTTTGAAAGTTTGTTTTCAGGAATGACTTATGAAAAGATTACCGTTAGCGATTAAATAGTGTATTCACAACAAAATTTAAAGTAGTTGGACGTCCATTATTACTGAACTAGTACACATTTTTGTTTAGGGGCCAGCTGAAGCACGCCTCCGGGTGCGGGATGTTCTCTCTGTATTGAAGACCCATTGGTGGCCTTCGGCTGTTTTCTGCTATTTGTCGGGTTGTTGTCTCTTTGACACATTCCCCATTTCCATCCTATCTTTTATTTGATTGTTTTTTTCCGGGTTTTTTATTGAACAAAACAAGTCATTTTGATCAGGACAGCTCTTAAAAGACTGAACAATAAAAAATATTTATGTCACGTTCACTCTTTTTGTTAATTGACAGACGTATCCACTGCTGTAAATTCAGTACTGGTTTCATTATTCGCTTTCACGTAATTCAACACTATTCAGTCTATGTTCAGACTGTTTATTAGCTGTTATTACCTATACAAAGCAACAGCATACCAAATTGCCATAAAAAAGGTACTTGATTGACTTAAAACAAAATGTCTTAACAGTATCGAATTTATCACTAGCAAATATCTGAAAAATAACGTAAATCTTGAATAAGACATAAAGTTTTTAGTTTTAGACCTTCAGATGATCACGTTTAGATCAAAATGACCGTTTAATACTAACATTCATTTACTAGTGACTGGATCATACATGTATAATTAAATGTAAGTGGCTCTAAAAAATGTTATTCAAATGGAAACATGTTTTGACCTACCATCCAAACCTTCAACTACATACTTAGACGCGCATATACTGCGAAGTCACCAGTTGTACATTAAACCCTACAACTTCGTCGAGTATAGGTACACTAGTGGTATATTTCTCAACCATTCGTACGATTTTAATATTCTCAAACTTATTTGTACTTAAATCTTTTCCGCTCCTTTGCTGCACTGTTATGTCCACCTTAAGACGAACCAGATGATATAATTTTTAAAAAAAAAGAATAGCCAACAAATTAAAGAGAAGAATCGAGTATGTAAAACTCTTGACTATCCAAACATATTCTTTACACTGAATATTGTTTGTTAAATGAAGGTGTATTATATAATTGCCAGTATGAGTAATGAACTTGCTTTTTGGAAACGTCTTTGTGTGCAAACAAAAGGACAATTACGTTGAAATGGCTTACAGCTTAGTTCGGTATACCATAACATGTATAAATTTGAAGTGGCTTTTTATTAAGTTCTAGACAAATTTACCAGCCGACACAACATTGTCTAGAAAAATAAAGCTTTATTTCAATGTTTTGAATCTGCCCAGTGAGGCATGAATAAGAATGTCCCAAATAGTATTTATCTCTTCAAATGGACCCATTTAAATACTGCTATTCAGACTTTATCATAATTAGTTTGTGACAAAACAAAAACAAAAAAACAAACATAATGTAGCAAAGAAATAGCAATTTTATAAGAAATGAACACATGGAAAAAAATATGAGACTTCTGCCCTCAGTTCAAATGACTGTTTTATAAAGGATCAAATATTTTAACATGTTCCATGATAAAGGGGTTTAGCATTTCTTTTCCTTTTGTTCTTCTGTAAGAAACGTAAAATTATGAGAAGGTAAACAATTTATTTTCAAATAAATTATCCCTTAGTTTTTTGTTAATTTTATATTCAAGGAGGAAGTGTTTCATCCTCAAGCAAGTGGCACAGTTTACATAATATATCCTTTCTATAATTTTTATAATATCGACCTTTTTCTATTTCTAAGTTATGGTAACTATAGAAAAGTCATTTGAAGCTAAATACAATTCCCTATCCCAGTTAAGTTTTAATTTTCATTAAGTAACAGTTTACTATTTTCATCATAAATCTTTATTCTATTTTCAAAAATGTTTTTATTTTTTTCTTTACATTCATTTTTAATCAAGGGCTTTAAAGACTTTATTTTATCCAAGTCCCTACAATTATTAACTTTACCTAAAAGGTCTGGGTGAAATATTCTTTGCATAAATATACCAAGAATAAGTATCATGGGATTCCAGCAGTTTTGACAAAAAATAATGTGAACCTTTTCAAATGGAGTTTTACATGGACATGTTTTATCAATAAATGAAATTTAATCAAAGCTTTTTTTTTATCTTATCTTAGCTCTGTTGTGTTAAAAAGCTATCCATAGAGGATATCTCAAAGTAATAAGCTAAAACTGGTTGAACTTATTTATTAAAAAGATTACTAATATTTATAAGAGGAGATTTCCCAATGAAACAACCTTGGCTTTAACCGAAAACATGACTTATCTTGCTTTTTTGCTAGGTCTTCTAGACTTTAAATCAGGTTGACATTGCTCTTTATAAGAGTTCCTGGGAATTTATATTCTTATACATCTTTTATCATATTTCCATTGTAGTTAAGAAATGAAACTACTCTTTTGGTAGTATTTGCCTGTAAAATCATTGTTTTAGTTTTATTTATATTTAAAGTAAGTTGCCAATTTTTACGGAAACTACTTAATTTATTTATACTATTCTGTAGACCTTCTTCACTCTCTGATATCAAAGTAGATCATCAGCAAAAGATAGTGACTGACACAAGGGTTAAGTCTACTAGTTTTGGTGGCATGGAGTGTTCAGAACTAAAAATATTATCCAGGTCATTTATAAAAATATTGAAAAGAGTGGGACTAATGGAGTGTTTTACTCCTCGAAAAGTTTCAAAGAAACTGGAATACGTATTGTTCCATTTCAAGGACGTTTCAGTTTTCAAATACTTCAGTTTTCAAATACTGATTCTAATTAAATATAGTTTTGCCCTATCTAATTTTTTGCTAAAAAGTTAAATAACAAAAGTACTGAACTCTGAGGAAAATTCAAAACGGTAAGTCCCTAATCAAATGGCAAAATCAAAATTACAAGCACATCAAACGAATGTACAACAACTGTCATATTCCTGACAGTTTATACAGTAAACCTTTTCTCCACACTGAGTCATATGCCTTGTGAAGATTAATAAAAAGATTACTATTATTATTATGTAATTATTTCTTTATCAATGTCTTTAATATAAAGAGACTATCAGTTGTCCAGTGGTTTTCTCTGAAATTAAACTGTGTTTTTGAGTATTTATCTATCATTAGTGTTTTTAGTCTCTCATTAAGTACTGCATTAATTATGTTTGATATGCGATTAATATGACAAATCACTCTACAATTTGAAATTGAATACTGAATTGCTACCAGATGTATCAAAGTCATATGGGATTTATTCCACTGAATAGAATAGTGTCCAGTTTTTAGAATAGGATTAACTCATTGTACAAACGAGTTTAATGTGAGCATACTATTTTGTGTAAATATTTCATTTAAGATGCCATCTGGTACACTTGCTTTACCTTTCTTTAATTTATTCAAAATATGTTTTATTTCTTTCATTATTATAGGTTTATCTGTTACTTTTTGGTCATAAATGATATTATTTTCGAGTTAATATGTACTTTCCTACAAAAGAACATGCCTGTACCAAGTCAGGAATATGACAGTTGTTATCCATTTGTTTGATGTGCTTACATTTTTATTTTTCTCATTTGATTAAGAACTTTCCGTTTAGTGTTTTCCTCGGAGTTCGGTATTTTTGTTATTTTACTTTTTATTACATCTTTCTTGGTCCTGCACATGTCTAATTGTTTTATCTACATCACCCAGTTACTCTCTCATATTATTTGCTTGGTTTATTTCTTTTTCATTAAAGGATTTTAAAAATTTTCAAAATTCTGAGGTATTTTCATCCATGGAATTAGACAATTTAAAATATATTTGTTATTAAACCAACCATTTTTGTCCTTTTTAACATGTTTTTTTTAAAGGAATTCAGTTGGTAAAAATACCTTTGTTTTAAATTATTATTAGGGTCTTCTAATCTGGCTTGAAAGTGAGTTTAAATTTATTTTTGCTCATAAACAGACGAATCTGACCACTTTTGTTTTACAATTTTCTTTTTATGTTTTCTTTATTTAATCAATTTACTTGATTCATCTACAATGTTACTTAACACTACGTGTAATTCTTCTGTTGCATTATGTATTCCTACTGTATTATAAGTATGTACTCGAAAGTGTACATTTATGAGTTATTAACTGAACGTATTGATACATCTAGATTGGTTTAATCACAACACTTTATTAGAATATGCATATTGAGTCAACGACTCCTCTGTTTTCTGTCATGGTTTGATGTTTTGCTTATAATATTTACTTCTGGTAAACTGTGTATAAATACTGGTGCAGGGTCAAGTTCATTCATCTTTACTGGGTTCTGTTTACAATTTTGTCAACAGCAAGGTCATTTTGAACCATCGATGTAAGAAGCAGCAAATTTAGCTGTACGTCTCGATCGTATATTTAATTAGAAATCGTCGTACTTTAGAGGTACGAAGCAGCGCATATATCTGTAACTGTTGCAACTCTGAGATATTTCGCTTTGTAGAAAACATAATATTCCAGTTTAGTTCTGACAAAAATACAAAAGTGCTGTCTTTTAAGTAGCTCCGTCTTTTATGTATTTTTATCACTTGAAGTTCATGTTTTTGCAAAGGTAATATTGATAAAATACAATAGTGCAGGAGGTCCATATCCATACCATTTTGATTTCCACCCTTAAGGTAAACGATTATGTGCTGTGGTATTCAAATACCATTTAACATGTATCAACGTTGTTTATTTATAACTAACTAGTTGTTGCTAAGAAAAAAACTTTGTTGCTATGATGGTTATATTGATACAAAATTAAAGCGTTCCAAAAGGCAAACATGGTTACCTATTATAATAATAGAATTTTATATAATAATTGGAATGTATTGCCCATTGTGTTTCTCTGTAATGCATAACATTGGATAACAAAAGTTATTTTTGTTATTTTATTTTTTGTGTGGTCCCTAGGCTACTATGGTTGCTAGGTTGTTACTATGTACTTCTTGAAAAGTAAAATTCAGTCTTTATATAAAATGATGTTACACATAACCTTACATAGTAATGGATTCAGAAGTTTATCCCAAGATATATTGCATTTCATTGTGATTTTTCCGAATCATACGAAATCCGTTGCTAAGCAACAGACTTGTCTTGAAAACAGACTCAATACATAGAATAATCTTCAAACGAGGTTATTTGAAGTAGGGGTCAACAGTGACATTTATTATACCGTGTACCTTACCAATTATTGACAAAAAATGAAGTAAACCTCCTGTTAATGGTTTTAAATTTAATAATATTGATGAAATATTATATTAATCGCTAAAGCATATTATTCAGAGCTTAATACTTATGAGCATATGATATAAATTTTATCCCAAGGTGATTTTTTATTTAACAAATAGATTCATAGTCGGTTCAAATGAATTCAGATAAATTAGGTCGACATTTTAGAAATTAAATAAACTTTTGTTGTTTCGGAATGTTCTACCTTTTGGACAGACTTACCTAACGTTTCCGTTCAAAAGATAAACGCTGGCGTAGTTTTGTAAAGAAAATTGGAATATATTCCTCACATTTAGCATGCTCTAATCGAGGGCACAATCCTTTGAAAATAATTCATTTTTATTAAATATTCATGGTTTAAGAAAAAAACTTCGTTTGTTTAGGTATCTTTTTAAAATGAAATAAATACAGATAAGTCATATCGGACAATGACCAGAAGGGCTAGTTTATGTCTTTTTTTAAGCTACAAATAATGTATTTAGCCTGTAGTAAAGTGTAAAAGTGGTGCTGATTTCTAAAATTTGTTGTGACAAGTTTTTTACTTTAAAAATGTTTTTTGGACAATTTCTTGAAAATAGTTCTTGAAAACTTCAAAGGAATAATGCAATGGAACTGTTGTTTGAAAGCTTGTTATAGCTGTGCCGGAATGCTAGACAGTGGTGACATATACCCCCGCTTGTACAGATGAAGTATATTCATCGGCGGGTCACAGTCGAACACTAATTTTTGTTCATACAAAAATGCTATGTTAAAAATCTCACGTTTACATTTCTTGTCGGATTTATATCAACTGTATACCAAGTGTTTCTGTAAGCAATGAATTTGACAAATTTAGTTTGATAATCATTTTTTTTCAACTATTGTTTTCTGGTTTTAAGCCCCTTGTCTATTCAGAAGATATAGATAAATGCATTATAAACAATCTCACTCTTAAATTTCTTGTAGGATATTTATGAAAATAAAAAAAGCAAAACAAATATTGGAATTATTTCCCATTGATTGATAAAATATGAGCCTCGACAAAGTTTATTGGCTTGCTGTTTTATCAATAGAGGTCCTTTCAAATTGATATTGTACTTCAGTTGTATTGATTCGAGAGTAACTGGTGAATTCTATGTAGACGAAAGCAGCGCTTGATGTATTATATGCCTGGCATCTTTGGAGTCTTGACAAGATATTTTGTTCGTGTAGCTAGTTTAAACATACATGTAATGTTTACCCGATACATAATTAATACATTATTAGAGTTCAACAGTTGTTGCATCAATCTTATAATTGTAATTATCTAATCTATGTAGACGAAAGCAGCGCTTGATGTATTATATGCCTGGCATCTTTGGAGTCTTGACAAGATATTTTGTTCGTGTAGCTAGTTTAAACATACATGTAATGTTTACCCGATACATAATTAATACATTATTAGAGTTCAACAGTTGTTGCATCAATCTTATAATTGTAATTATCTAATCGGAGATAAAGGATATTGTATTTTATTACACTTCACGTTAAAACCTCAGATTTTAACGTGAGAGAATTATGGAGTACATTATTACCTATCAAATGACACCACCCAATGACCATCTCGTCGACGTGTTGTATATATAATACATCTCTGAATTTATAAATGTCCCAATTTGACGTGTTACATTAATATCGAATGTTAATTATACTAATAGTATACCTAGATTCATTTATTTATATAGTTTTAGTTTGTAACCCGGATTTGTTTTCTCTCAATCTATTTATGACTTTTGAACAGCGGTATACTACTGTTGCCTTTATATGTGACTTATAAATATGTTATTTTTTTGTTGTAGCCTACCTTGTCCATTGGGTAAATTCCGTTCTTACATACTGTAAAACATTGAATGAATTTGAGGAGTTTCCGAAAATATTATTTGTGGCAACACATAAGGATCAAGTGAAAGTAAGATGATATAAATTTAAGAATTGAATAACTGATGTGTTCAAGTCTTTGTTCTCAATCCTCGAGTTTAACCAGCTTAAATATAAACGGAATTAAGTTTGATTGATACTCTCAAATTATCAAAACTTACATTACGTCTGCAGACATTTAAATCTTAATTTTCTTTTTGTTTTGTTTTGCGATAATGCTTTAATATGTTAATTAAATATTTGGTATATGTATTGAGAATAAGTCGGATGATGATTATAGTTTTCGAAGCCATTTCTTCTATAAATGATCTAGCTGAACCAATTTCTGTTGAATCGACTGTCTTTTTCACGTTTTGGCAATAAATAGAAGAAATATTCATATTTTTTTTATTTCATTCTAGTATTAATTTAAATAGATGGAAGTAATTGTATCCACATGGTTCACATATAAATGTAGGCATCCGAAAAATTAACAAAAGTTGATGAATATAACTTTAAATTGTATACCTCTGGTACAGGATGATTCTGCAATTGTTCAAAGATTATACTCAATCATAGTTTTAAGACATTTGTTTAACCAAAATTAAGGTAATTTTAAGCTATTATACAACCAAAATTTATTATTTGAACAGGAAAAATCAACAATGCGTTTTAGTTTTGGATTAATATATATTATAATTTTTCATTTCCGATATCCGAGATTATAAAGTCGTTGTTTATAAAGTAAGAACGATAAATATTAATTATACGAAATGCAAACCTTATAATCGGAATGATATTTGTTATTGTAATTTTTTTCTCCCGCAAATATTGGTTAAATCGCACACTTCATTATATATTTAATTTTTATGTAATGGTGATAACTCTGTTATTGTTTAACTGAAAACTAATTAGTTTTACTATTTTTGCTGTTTTATAAGGGCTTTATTTTAGAAAGAGTATGTTCAAAGTTGGCATGGTGTTTATGCGGATCACTTATATTCGCCCAATGTAAATCGACAATTAGTATATGGTATCAAACAAAAAACATAAATTTACATTTGCTACGATGAAAACAAAATCGAAAGTCCATGTTCGTAACACATAACTAGTTTTATTTATATACTGAATGTTACTTTTACAGTTGTATAACTACCATGTAAAAGCAGCAATCGTATAACGGTTCGGTTCAACACATCACAAATAAAAATCAATCATCATACTACATTCCAACCTAACATCCGGAATAAAAGTTCAAATGATTTCATGGAAAGAACTTTGTCCATTTTTTCTTCTAGTTGTTTCAGTTTTGTCGTTCTATTTTGGTGTATTGATTTTTAATTTCCAGCGCAAAATTTTTTTTGTTGGGGTTTTGTTTATAACATATTTTAATTTTTAGTTAATGAAGAAACCTTTTGTTTTCATTAGAGAGACATTCTCGCAAGTCACAAACGAGAATGATTATTAAAAATTATTGAAAATAAGCGTTTTCCCGCTCAAAGATCCCAGATACATAATTTTTTTTAAGGACACTGAAAGGTCCAAACGTTAATCTGTCGTTTTGTTGATGTGTTCTTGTTCTTTAAGTTTGGTAACACATCCTATATCAATTAATGTTAAAGGTTAACGCAAGGTGTCACAATCATTGCATAAAAATCTCCACAAATGTAGAAAAAAGAATACCCATGGCAAGTTTGCAAAACAATGATATTGCATAAACTAAATTCATCTTTTCAAAACATTAGTCGAAAAGAATGCAAAATGCACCCTGGACTGTTTACCAAGCGGTAGTATGGTCCTACATTGTCACCGCAGGGAAAACAAGCCCTTGTCGGTGTATAATAAAACGAGGTATCGCACAACTTTCAACATTTTGAAAAGATCATTTGTTGAATTATCTCAATTGCAAACATGATTGTTATGTTAATGTTTGAAAAGTTCGCCAAGTATTAAGAAATGGACAGTTTCTTTTTTCTGGATGCTGATGGTTTCTTGACAAAAGATTGATAACTTATGTATTAGATAGGAATCAGTTCCCCTATACAGTGATACACACTTAGTCTCCTTGTAATTAAGTTAGTTTTGTGAGATTTCGGTGCCTGAAAAAACAGGAATGTATTGGATTTTACATACTGATACAAAATATATATAATATCAACTAAATGAAATTGGATCACATGATTTCGTATTATTCAATATATCTATTATCACTGTCATTGAACAAATCTGATTATGCAGCATATTCATGTAAAGACGATCTTATACAGACATTGTGATGGTTGGTAGCTCTTATATATATTTCAGGGTGATATAGAGGAGCAGAGGCACTATTTAGAAAACTCCATTGAAATACTCTTTCAAAATCACGGAGGAATAAAGCATCTTCAGTATCGACCACTTATTTTTGTAGATGCGAGAAACAAGGAAGACAAAGAAATTGATGTTTTGAAAAAGCAGTTAGTAGAAGTTGCATTGAACCATCCTCGTTGTGGAGAATTGATGCCGACCAAATTTGTACCTCTTGAACTTCAGTTAGCAAAGAAAGGAGAGGATACACATAAAATAATTACAATCGATGAACTAAAAGACATGAACAAACTAAACGAAAACATGGCATTAGATAATGACGAGCTGAAACTGTTTCTGAAGGTTAATCATGCTTTAGGAAAACTGATCTACTTTGACGAAGCTTTCCTGAGAGATAAAGTTATCATAGATCCGGTATTTTTGGTAGATGTACTACGTTCAATTGTAACCGAGGAACAGTTTTGGCCACAACATCTTCTTCCAACATTTAAAGCACTTAAAGACAGTGGAAAACTTCAGAAACAGGATTTATATGAAATATGGAAACAAGAATGCTTCCAGACGATCATAGAACATAAGGAATATATGGTAGAAATGCTTGTTCATTTGGATATAATTTGTAGACAAAAAGACGATACGAATGGATCTGACTTTTTCTTAATACCATGTATGATTAGTACAAAAAGAGAAGACAACTTAGATATACCGTTTGACAGAAGCATTCATTTGGCGTATACGTTTCGGGACGAAATTGTACCACCAGCTATTTTATACAAGTTTATCGCGACTTTTGTAACAATATGGAAGTTACAGATTAGTAAAAATGCCAGCTTGATGCTTTTTACTGACAGTGCTGATGTAAGCATTGACAAAGAACATGATATGAGATTTGACCTTCAGAAAAACAAATTAATAATTACTCTTTCACACAATACAAGCCGGACCTCCATTGTATCGACAATTGCATCAACAGCTCAGGAATGTCTTACACATGCTATTACACAAATTTCAAACTTTTATTTCTCAGTTACAGAGGATTCTGCTTGTACTTTGGATTTGCCCTTTACAATTCAGATTGGTATAGTTTGTGATGGAAATCTTTGCTTTTTTGACCACAAATTTTCATCTATGGATGAATGGATATGTCCAGATCATATAAGAAAACACAAGACATATATTGTGTCCAGATGGTTTGCAGACAAGGTATCTATTTTGCCTATAATTTATATACCTCTTAAGTTTCAAAGAAGTATCCATTACAATAATGATAGGTATAGATAATGCATTCATCTTTTATCAAATTGTCACTTCGTTTACTTCCATATACTTTCTAAAATACTTTAGAAATAATTTAGTTTTCGGTTAGCATTTACATTCTAAAAGACATATGCTAGCACAAAAACCTTGAGTCTCATAATGCATGTGTTATCTTATTACAAAAAGAAATACATCAAATATACACTGGACACTTTGTCAGTATGGGTCAAAACAATCAGATTTCTGATAAAACGTCACATTCATACGGTGATAAATTGTGCGAATAATGGACCAAACTGTTTTCAGAGACAAAGAGGCTGTGAAATGTCTATCATCTCTTCACGATAAGTATGTTGTTGTTCCTGCGAACAAAGATTCAAATAATATTGTCTTTATATGTAAATCGTACTACTACGAGTGTCTTGAAAAAGAATTAGGAATAAATGAGCACTCAGGTAATCCCACATACAAAAACATATCATATGACAAAGATGAAAAGTCCTTTATGACTTCAATGAACATTGCATTGAACAGCAAATCGGAGGACTTCCCTTGTTTGTATTGGATACCTAAGCTTCACAACATTCAGTACAAACAACGTTACATTGCCGGCTCATCTGCATGGTTTACTAAAGAATTGTCCATTAGATTGACAAAAATTCTGTCCGCAGTGAAAGAGGGTCTTCAGAAATACTGTGAAACTGTTTACTCGCGTAGTGGTATTAACCATTTGTGGATTCTAAAAAAAAACTCTGAAGAACTTCTAGATAATTTTAAATCTCGATCTTTCTCTGAAATTAGTTCTATCAAAAATTTAGATTTTTCAACCCTGTATACCACCATTCTCACTGTAAAATTGAAACATAGTCTAAAAGTAATAATCCTCAATGCTTTCAACATAAAAATGGTACCATACGCTCTAAATTTATTACTTTGGTATACCATACAGCATATTTTGTTAAAGTGAACAAAAAAGTAAAACAAGCTACACAGAGGGAGGAACAAGTGATCAGTGTGCAAGAGTTTCTTATTGACAACATATTTGTTGAATTTGAAGGTAGACTTCTTCAACAAATTGTCGGCATTCCTAAAGGTACGAACTGTGCGCCTGTCCTTGTCGACCTCTTCTTAAGTCGGAGTTCCTTCAGACACTTGTCAAAACAAGAAGATCAAAGAAGCCAGATCATTTAGTTTCACTTTCAGATAAATTGATGATGTTCTTTCTATTTAACTATCCAAACTTTTCTGATTAGGCTCCATTGATATATCCTCCAGAACTAGAAATTAAAGACACAACAAAAACGGCTTTCTCTGCCTCATTTTTAGACCTATACCTTGATTTGACATAAGCGGTCATCTCAGTACCAGAATCTATGACAAACGAGACGATTCTAATTTTGAAATTATCAATTTCCTTCACCTTAGTAGCAATATACCAACTTCACCTGCCTATGGGATATATGTCAAACTAGGGTTAGCACTCAGATGTCACGGTCCAATGATTATCAAAATGTGATCAAATGATATATGTAGTGTGAGCGGGGCATGGTATAACGTAAGAGCACATGTTTGTGATTTACTTTCATATGATTTCCTTTGTTCAATATAAGAAATTGCAAGGAAACAATTTCATTATTTTCTTGTTAGTACTGAAGTATTGAGTTGCTTGATTGTTGATAACCTGGGGTCACAGTCCAACAGTCTTAGTAATAATATTAGATACTACCTATATTATTTTGTAGTAATTTGACGCGTTATGACTTTCAGTGATGCACAAGGCATTGTTTTGGAAAAATCCAATACTTAATTCAAACGTCATCGATATGATATATCTGAAAAGGACCAAAAAAATATAGCAAAACCCGGCCACTTATTCATAGCTATTCATGATAGCTACATTCCTTAATTTTAGATGAACTCCTAAGTTTTATAACGCAAAACTAAAGAAATCTTCGTTTTCGTGATAAAACTGAAGTACGTAGCTACTGAGCAGGTAATACATCGGAGTACTAACAGTCCACCATTAAATAAAGGCAACAGTGGTATACCGGTGTTCAAAAGTCGTACATCAATTGAGAGAAAACAAATCTGGGTTACAAACTAAACCGAGGCAAACACATCAACTATAAGAGGAAAACAAAGGAACAACAGGAACACTGAAGTGCAACAAAAACAAACGCCAACATACATAGAAACGAACTATTTGATAACAACTGCCATATTTCTGACTTGGTACAGAACATTTAAAGAAAAAATGGTGGGTTGAACCTTGTTTTACGGATAGCCAAACCTCCCGCTTTTATGATAATGTTAAAATATATCGCTAAAATGACATCATTACGTGACAGAAATACAACACAAACACACGCAAGAACACTCATCACAGAGAAACGCACAAACAAATAATATAATAGTCGACACAACATGCAAACCGTAGAACAACAACGAACATCTTCCATCAACGACAGACACCACAGAACATCACCAACAGTGACGCACTTACGTAACGAACATACAATCTCGAACTTTATACAACTATTTTCACAATACCAGTCCAAACAATTTTTATGACAATGATAGTATGGAAAGGGAAGTTTATAAAAATGTGGACTACAAACGATAAGACATAAATAAAGGCAACAGTAGTATACCGCTGTTCGAAAACTCATTATCCAACCGAAACCATTACAAAAACATAACAAATAAATACATGAATGTTGGATGTACAAAATACCGAGATGCGTCATATAGCAATCCAAATTTACACTCGGTATAAAAATCATATTTTGGAATAGGTCACGTTTGGTACTTCGCAGACAGACGACATAGATGTTAAACCACAATCTAAGACGTGGTAAAAATGTCATTAGTTAGTTTAGACACAGACACATCGTATAGATCAACCAATTCGTAATGGTGTCCATAAAATTTACGGAGTGTCATTAAACGTATCAATCGAGAGATACTGATATCATTGAATGTAGGGTATGATATTTTATCGCGAAGTTACAATATTCCAGGGATAGTGTTTCGAATCATGATTGCCTTGATGCATGTCTCACTTGTAACTAATTTATGTAATAGTTGGAAATTGCTGACCCAGCCAAGGCATCTGAATTCACCACCGACTTAGAGTGGACTTTGTGTTCCTCGGTCTTTAGTTTTATGTGTAGTGGTTTGTTAATTGATGTCTAGTTTTCTTTAGCCTGTGGTTTATGTCCCTTGAAATATATTTCCTCTTTTCGGAACATCTGCATTAAGATGAAAAACAATAATTTTGAATGGCTATTGATATTATGTGTGTTTTATTTCCCAGTATTTCATTGTAATGATTTATTCTATCAATAATATTACTTTGTTTTTTTGTATTCAGCTGTTGAGGAAATACTCAATACCATATATAGGTAAAATACATCAGCAATGTATTTTTATTTAACTTAACTTACACTATGTTTCAAACTTTTTACACAAATAGTGTATCATTACGCTTACGTTATACAACCATGTTTTTATTTCACAGCTACCGGCAAAAGATGACAGATGCTCTGACAATTGTCTTGGTAAGAAATACTTGTTTTGCTTCTAACAATTGCATTTCACCAAAGTAACATAATACATGCTAAATTTTATTAATGAACAATATTGACGAAATATTAAGCATGTCTGGTGGGTTGTGGTTACAATCAATGATTGTGTAACAATTACTATCTTATGGTTGTAGCCTGTTATTTATTTTCAACATTCAGTTATATGTCTCGTATAACACGGATTTTAACGTGAAAAAGTGACACACCTATTTCCTTTTTTGTTTTGCATATATGGCAATATAGCACGAAATTGCAACTTTCAATTGGCTATCCTGTATGTCAACGATGACTTTCAAAAGTCACAGCAGACTCATTTCCTCCGTGGCAATTGGTATATGCTATTGATTTAATAGTACCCAAAACACTCACACTTTTTCCTTGACATTTTATATTTGGCAAATTATATTTCATTCTGAGCGTACAACAGGCTTTTAATAAATGTGACAATAATAAATATCGTTAATCGAATAATAAGATACTAATCAAGGTAACAAACAAAAACTGTGAAAACTCCAAAGTAGTAAGACAGGGTGAGTCGACAATATGAGCGTCTCCTTATATGCTTGCATCGCCCGTTATGCGAATCCACACTCAGTCAAAATGTCCTATTCTAAATATGACACGATCGGTTGCATTATACATTAAACGAATATACTGGTATCAAAAGATATAAGACCGCACAAGCCTGTTCAAAGTGAGTTGAGAAACAGATTTATCGTGTCGGTAAACCAATTAATGATGGTAAACACGTATAATAGTATTGTGTGATGCCGGAAAAGGAAATATGACGTCAAACTCTTTTCTTTCTTGCCATAGACAAGTATGACTATTCACGGAATGTTTTTTTAACAAAAAAAAAAAGAATAATCACCATAAAAAGAAACGAGTGCAACTCATGAGTTATGGATATTGTTTTAAATCAAATCGAGTTATTTATTTCATTCTGATAAAAATAATCCAACCTTTGTATGAAACCGATAAATATCAATAATGACAGGTAAAGCAGTGACTTAAAATCTGTATCTGGCTTAACATAATAAAGACTTTCTTTTGTAATTTAATTTGATTCAATTTATTTATAATTTTACTCTTCAAAAAAGAGTTAACCGCTCAACAAGAAAGATCGCTTACATTATAATAAACACCTTCATAATTCAAAGAAATGTTTTTTAACATTTGTGAGGAAAACATTGCGACTCAATTTTGTTTAATTACAAGACAAAATCGTTTCCAGGTATCTATGATGAGTTAATTTACTGTATATTTTGACAGAAAATTTTATACAAAACATTACTAAAGTTCTAGTAGTTCATTTCAAATCATGATAAATGAATTCGAGTAGGGACAAAATGCCTACCTTAAAGTCAACTAAGTGTTCTCACACGTAACAACCGATTTATTCAACACACAAACTGTAAGATTTGCTTAAAATTGAAATCCTTTGTCCCATCCTTCTTATTGTCGAAAGAAAAAAAAATGATTAAAACTTAGTCCAGGACGACAGCTTTTTAAATATTTGAAGAGAAGTAAGTCTATTATTTTCTTAAATGAAACATGTTGAGCAAAGGAAAACTCATATCGCAAGTGTTGATTGTCACTTTATAGACGATGTGCTTCTGTGAACCAATAATAGTGCTGTATGTAGTTTAATCGACACGTGTTATATCATTTGATTCACATGACCACATAACTATTTGTATGCTAAACATAATATTACTCTTTCCTTTTTGTGTCGAATACCTGCATTTTTGTTGAGATAATATAACCTTTCGTCTATAAATGTATTAATATGTATATATTTTTGCAGTTTCCGCTGCTTTAGAACGTGTTTCTTAAAGTATTTGGACTTATAAAGATAATAATATCAAAATGAATATCTTTTTCAGAAAACAAGAAATAAGAAAAAATCAGTTATTCCTTTAATGCATGTTACTTGTGATATGCAAGAAAGTAGTTCAATAAAAGTGCTGCAAATTTAATATACTGACCTTGTTTATTTGCTTGTAATTACAATATATACATCAAGAAAAGGGTAAAATACAAAGGTGACGCATTACACATGTACAATGGGACTTAACATGCCCAAAATCTATGCATGTCTTTATATATTTCTACTATAAACACAGTTCATCTATATTTTTAAAAATGTGTCGTCGCAATATCGGCATTTCGATACAGTGCTCTTCAAATTTATAAATAAAACATATGTTTTTAGCTAACAATATCATTCAAATTACTGTCTATGCTACATTTTATTTTGATGTCATCTCATAAATCATTAAGAACAACCGCAGTTAAAGTCTTAATTAGCTTCATTTGTAAATATTAATCTAATGGAAGAATATATTTAACAGGATAGCAATATTCTTTTTTTTTTTTAAAGATGTTGTTTATATTGAGATAATTTTTAATCGTCTTATTTTGTTGGCAAATTTAAATGTCTACATTGGTTAAGTATATCAACAATATATTACAGGTTTAGACAAAGCATGGTTAGACAGCCTACCTGATGACAAACATCTTGGACGCCTAGCAGCTGAATTGACAATAGAAGAAACATTGAAAATGTATATGCATTTAAAGGAAAGAAAACCATCGCAGTCATGGAAAAATATTGAGTCGTATAGCAGAGGAGATTTTGATATCAAAATTAACGCTCTACATGATTGGAAGAAGAGTACAAAACACGCTACTTTCAGGAAGCTCCAGGAAAGTCTGAAGGAAGAAGAACTTAATATCCACATATTATGTCAGGTACATGTATAATGACTGACATATTATATCACTTTTTCAACATTATAACATACGCATTGTAATGGTAAATTTGGTGGATTTGTAAGTAATAGGACTGATTGATGTTTTTTAAAAAAGGTTTACATAAGTTGAATCCACAACAGAGGTACACTTCAACATAAATTTAAAATGCAATTATTGAACAGTGTTAGTGATGGGTATTCAAGTGTATGTATGCTGGGAATTAATGTCACCTTCAATGACTAGAATCAAGACCCATTTGCAAAAAAAATGCTTTATTTTAAAAGTTGTTTGACTAAACCTGTGAGCATTATACATTATTGTTGGTTATACTGTAGTTTTAAATGTTTTAAATGACTGTTTTACATTTGTTATTACAGATTTTGAGAGATGTTCAAACAGACGTAGGTAAGTGATAACCGACGTAATAATAAATTTGTAAAAAGAGAGTTTACCAATTATGTATTATGTTTAGCTTTGGATATCTTGAACAGAAGCAGAAAGCAATTGAACAGCAAACACCATCAACAAGATAAGATTCTCTATTAGGTCGATATTATTGGCGGATTCATTACACATGTTACAATACTTAAACCCTTACATGTTGCATCCTTTTTTCTATTTTGGGGTATAATCTTTGAAAAGTCTAATGGAAAGAGACAAATCGAACTCAGAAAAATGTTCAGCAGCCAACTTTAGGAAATATTGAGGCTTGGTTGGAAAGTCAACTTTACGTTACGTGAGAGGATTTCAATTTTCATATGGCGTATTTAACACATAGATGGCAGCCAAGGGCTTGGATTTCCTATGATTTGTTCCTTATTGAGGGTTACTGCTATTTTAACAAGCAAGTGTCTTAAAAAACAATTTGACCTTGACTTTGATTTAGCATTTGACACATATATCTAAAATAAAACATTTCTCAATGAAGCACACTTAAACGGAAAATAAGGACACTGCATGTTATTATTATGTGGAACATTCTCAAAAGCTCTAGCGAAATATGTACTGTTTAGGTCGGTTTTTATTTTAATATCGTTTTTAGACTACAGCTGGAAATAAGGACACTGCATGTTATTATTATGTGGAACATTCTCAAAAGCTCTAGCGAAATATGTACTGTTTAGGTCGGTTTTTATTTTAATATCGTTTTAAGACTACAGCTGGTTTACAAGTGAAATGATCTGTAAATTGCATGATTTACTTGCTTTGAACTAGTGTTGGGAGTCATAAAGCTTTGTTTCGAGGTGTCTTGTAATGTTGCATGCAAGTATGTGCTCTAGTAATTTGCATAAAACATATGTCCCGTCAGTGGATTGTTATGTATTACCAGGATGATGTTGTCCCTTTTTAAAAAAATAGTTTTAATTAAAGCTGTTGCTTAACATTTTGAAGCAAATTTTCGGATTTTTATATTCGTAAATGTTTTTTTTTTTTTCATTTTTATTTTTTTATTTTGTTGCCTTGACTTGTATTTTTTAATGGTCCGTTGAAAATTGAACAGCAGTAAATTACTGTTTCATATTATTCATATTTACGTTGTTAGTCAGCTAATATACTCGTTCAATTCTTGTGATTAGTGATTTCCATGCTTGTTACCCTTCTTTACGTGCATATTCGAATGAACAAAATTGTTTTCTTTTTCTTTTTCATAAATTCAACGTAAGATATTATTGTATCTTAAGTTGAAAATAATTGTTTTGATTCTTCAATCTTTATTTGAAATATATTAATGGTCCCCCAAATGAAATATTACATACTAATGGAATGTAAGCGCCTGTGTCATTAGTCAAGTGACATAAATATCGATATCGTAAACGGCTATAGCATATGCTAATCTAAAAAATCTCGGTCGGTATTTGTCGTCTTCGTCGTATAGACGTTCTACCGGTTGGTATTGCGATTATTGAATGCAAAATACTGGAAACTGTGTGAATATTGGACAAGAAAAAGCAAGTTGAAATATCAAAAAATGATATATTTTAAACTATTAATTAATGGTTTGATGTTTATCTTAAAACTTCACGTTTGTTTTGCAGCGATAATTTTTCTTTTGTTAGGACACGGGATATGTTTTTAATAATACATTGTTTTAATCCCTTGCAAATAACAATTTTTAGTAGGAAAGTGAAAATATTAGTCTGTTTCCATTTAAAACTGGTGGAGTTGGAAGACAATATTGACTTTTGTTTCATTTTTCGTTTTGTTACATAATTTTTTTTTTTAAATAAAGTCGAAAAACAAAATGTGTCCAGAGAAAAATAAACGTTGCTGCCAATAAAAGATAAATATTCCATGCCGTGTACTTTGTAAAACGTGTATTCATTTTCTGTTTACCTATAGTTTGAATTTTAATTTCCTACTGGAACGTAATTTTCTGCAATGTCTGATAACGAATAAAGGTATGTTTTGTATGAGATTGCTTGCAATTTTTTGTTCTTGATATTGTGTGACATTATAATACAGTATCCATTAATACATTTTAAACATTAATTTGTTGTTAAGTATTCATGATTATCTTGTTTAAATTTTAGATCTACCAAAAGACAAGTTGAATCTTAAACCATCGAGTTCCGATGTAAAACTACTGCCTAATCATATTGGTAGGGAAACATTCCAGCTTGGAATAGAACTTGGACTATCTGTTGTTAAAATGCATCAGATACAATCGAATCATGTGACAAATCTTCGTGGACAAACAGAGGACGTCCTTAACAAGTGGCGAAAAACTGAAAAAGCTGCGTATGAAGTTTTAGCCAAGACTCTTTATCGCCTTGATTTGTGTAGTGTTTTGTCATACTTTAGTTATGACGTAGGAGTAAAGGAGCAACTTGAAGGTAAATACAATCTAACATATATGACTCAATTTACAAAATATGGCTTAAGTATTTTAATTTGATTTTTTAACATATCAGAACGTGTTGATTCGGACACAGGTAAAGTTTTGAATTGTTGGTATCAGTGAGTGTCACATTAACATACCAATACTCAGAGCCCGTTTGACATCACGATTCAATACTAGGATTATTTGTCGACACTTTCTCTGAGTCGTGATCCATCGTAAGTTTGACCATAATTGCATTATAGTAAGAATACATGTATTACATTGTGAACACAACTCCTCTAGTTATGTCTTTCTGAAGCCCTCATTATTTGTAGAATTGTTTGCCATCATGTGTAGTTGACCATATTGTACCGTCATTTTTATTTGACCGCGTTTACAGGAGTTATGGGGCTTTGCCAATTTTATAGAGTATTGTGACATTAACGCCTTGTGAACGCAACTCCTCAGAGACTAACTGACATAAAACTCTCTGACCTTGTACTTCTTTTCGCCATCCTGTGTACATGTAGTTGACTTGTATTGTCATCAAAGTTTTTGACAATTTGTTTAGTATTGTGACAATGATACCTTCTGAACACAACTTATCGGAGACCGTTTGACGGAAACCTCTCATGTTTAGTGGAATCGGTTGTCATCATGGTTAGTTGATCATATTGTACTGTCTTCATGATTTAACAGTTTTCACGGGAGTTCGACTTTTTTGTGGCACACAATGGAATTCCTCATTTACACAATGCAGCAATCTTGTATAATAATTGTTATCAAAACCATATTTCCACTATCAAAGCGAGGGGTGTCCCTCCTAATTTATAAATCAGATCATTGAAAATAATTGATTTTGTTATAAGTAAGCTGACAAAAAAATCATATACAGTACCTTTGCCTGCAAACATTGGTCTACGTCCCTTCAAACCAGAACCTGGACTTAGTCCCAATTGATGGTTTGACTATTGTTACATGAAATTTGCATGCATTATTATTTGTCAATCTTCACTTACGTTTAGAAGTCCTATTGATACAGATTATGAGGTATAGATTATTAATTATGTCTGGACAAAATCATAGCAGAATACAAGGCATATATATGCTCATCCAGCAGTTGCAGCGGTATTTACTAAGAAAAATGAGATGTGAAATATGATTCATTAAGATTACATCCTAAAGGAGAAAATAACTAACACATATTTACAAGTCGACCAAAGTTTGTTCATTAAATCCGGCCCTGTTATTTACTATTGGTATTTACCAATATTGACCACCGCGGTTGATTTTCCGTAGTTGTCAATGATAGCATGACTGGTCGATTGACGTTATCCAAGTTGTCTTTTCTATGTAATGTAGTTAAACAATGATGAATGAAATGAAGTTAAATTAAATAAACGTTTTCCTTTTGAATGCTTCAGTTTTTGAAATTAATTACATCAAATTCAATATCATCATTAACAATCACTAATTTAAGTCCTCAGAAAATTTGAATCTCTCTCTTTTGGTCTTTGAGATGAAAATGCTCTTAATGCAGAATGTGACGTTTGAATGACCTTTACCCTTATGATTCGATGCATTTTTTAAATACCAAACATTATAATGGCCTTTATTACGAAGCATTTATTGTGTCCATCCATAAATGTACACCCATATATTTAACACAACACTTAATTTGCCATTTAACATAGAAAGGAGGAAATTTAAAATGGCTTATATTAACTTAAAAGGGCATTAGCTGTTGAAATCCTGATCTTCTATTTGATTGAAGATCTCATATGTGAATGCTATCATACTAAAACATGAAAATGTATATTCAAATAACCAAAAGTCTACAAGAAACAAGAAACAGTTAGCAATGCATCAACTCGTTATAATTAATCTGTATTTTGTGCGTGTTTGTAATTATACGCCGTCTAAATAACCATTGAGAATACCTCCGAAGACTCTCGATGGTTAAACCACTAGATATATTTATAAATATAAATAGACAGACAAGCACGTGCAATCGTATATTGACTTTTTACTAGATTTGTCATATTGCATTTCTCAGATTTAAAAAAAAACATCATGTAAATCATCTTTTTACCTGTGCATGAATTGCTTTTTTGTTAGCAAAACCAGTCAACGAAATGGTTTTTGCTTGTGGCTCCCTTGTTTCACTTATCGATTTTGACATTTCTTTTTTTTTTAATAATTTATTAAAGCGGAATATTGAAAAACAATGTCGTTATAAGCAGTCAGCTTATGCATAACCCATCATCAGCTGAGTGGTAATAATAGGGTGCACGAATAAGGATTCAAATGAAGTGGAATTGTTACAAGCCAATAGTACATAAACGATGTTCTTCTATCTTTCTTTGACAAAAGTGAGCCAAACTGATTGCTTATAACAATATATTATTTCAATATTCCGCTTTTATAAATTTTTGAAACAGAAAATTCATGTTAAAATTTGTGTCTAAATCGTAACTCATGCCTATTTTAAACACTTTCATATGTTGGTGACTTGCAGCAACTGGTCAGGTAGGTACTGCTTCTTTAATTATTGTCACCCAAAATCTTCAATCGACCAGAACTTATCAGTATTGATAATTCAATATCATCATTAACAATTACTAATTTAAGTCCTCAGAAAATTTAAATCTCTCTCTTTTGGTCTTTGAGATGAAAATGCTCTTTATGCAGAATGGTATGTTTGAATGACCTTTACTCTTATGATTCGATGCATTTTTTAAATCCCAAACATTATAATGGCCTTTATTACGAGGCATTTACTGTGTCCATCCATAAATGTACACCCATATATTTAACACAACACTTAATTTGCCATTCAACATGCAACCGTAAAGTCCTTTTGTAAACTTGTTACACTATTCTAGAAAAAACTCAAAACTACGGTTAAATATAAAAACTGCAATAGTGCAATCTGCACCAGGGACAACACATTAATTTTCTGTTACGTTAACAATTTATAGTAAGAATTCACTGTCTATATCCATGATGTATAATAGTAATATAAATGTATTCGAAAAGAGGACATTTAAAATGGCTAATATTAACTTAAAAGGGCATTCGCTTTTGAAATCCTGATCCTCTATTTGAGTGAAGATCTTATATTTGAATTCTGTCTTACTAAAACGTACCTTTAAAACTTACGTTTAAGTAAGACTAACCACTAGTTAGCAAAACCAGTCAACGAAATGGTTTTTGCTTGTATCTCCCTTGTTTCACTTTTCGATTTTGACATTCCTTTTTTTAATAATTTGTAAAAGCAGCATATTGAAAAACAATTTCGTTATAAGCAGTCAGCACATGCATAACCCATCTCCAGCTGAGTGGATATAATAGGGTGCACGAATAAGGATCAAAATGAAGTGGAATTGTTACAAGCCAATAGTACATAAACGATGTTCTTTTATCTTTCTTTGACAAAAGTGAACCAAACTGACTGCTTATAACAATATATTATTTCAATATTCCGCTTTTATAAATGTTTAAAACAGAAAATTCTTGTTAAATGTTGTGTTTAAATAGTACCTCATGCTTATTTTAAACACTTGCATAGTTTGGTGACTAGCAGCAACTGGTCAGGTAGGTACTGCTGCTTTAATTATTGTCACCCAAAATCTTCAATCGACCAGTACTTGTTGATATTTTCCGCCGGCCTGGACTTTATCGATGTTGCGCCAACCTTAAGGCCACAATCAAATCTTAAACAATAGACCAGCTCTAAATTGTTCCAACAGTCCATATCAAAGACTTGCCTTTAAAATCAAATTATCTTCCAGTTGATAGATATTCCAGAGCTTTCATTTCCTATCACGATTTCCGTAACTTGATAGAGGGTTGCTGTTCACAATCAAGTTGTTAAAATTAAGGTCCCAAGTTGTTAAGTTGGAGTCATCCCTTCTACAAATGTACAGACGACATCACAAGTTGGTTGACCGTTATAGAAAAACAGATGACGACGGATATGTCCAATTGTCTTAACCACAATCCCGTCCTGTTTTCCTCGAATACCCCGTTAGTATCGCCCGCCTCTCTATGTAAAGTATGTGTGGAACAGAATAAGAACACGTAACAAAATATTAATTGAAAATAATGTAATACCGATTTAAATTATTACTTACAATGTATGTAATATTATCAAAACATCTTTTATAATAAATGATAAAAATAAATATACAGATACATGTATTGATCAATAAAGGTTAAAAATTAAATCTAATTTTATTTTTATGAACGAAATTCAGATATAATCAGGAATAATGAAAGCAGAATCAAACGGAAGATTGAAACCAACCAGATTTTAGATCATATGATGACACATTTGGTGATCTCAGTAGATGACAGACGCCGCATTGAACAACATGCAGGGCAAGATGATAGGAACAAAGCATTGCTTGAAATAATACTAGAAAGGATAGAAGTTACTTATTTGGTGTTTTTAGATGCACTACAAAACAGTGGATACACAAATCTAGCAGATCAGTTGAAATGTGAAATACAAGATTTGAGCCAAATTGCAACGTTAGCAACAACTGAAAATGAAGGTATGATCTATAAATTAGCGTCTCGCCTCAACGAGGTGGCAAAAGTAAAACTCAGACGTGCAGTGCAAGTTAAAGTTTGACGTTTAAGGGGAACATCAGATAACAATATGGTATTGTTACCTACGAATATATTTGTGTTAACAGTGGCACATCCCTTTTCCAGTGAGATTGTATGGCCCCGCCCGCTTAGTCATGGTCTAAAGTTTTTGAAACTTTTGTTTAGTTTAAATGGTAATTAATTACTTGCTTTAAAAGTGATAATCTCAGTTTTGGATGAACCACCTATGGTAAGTCTTTGATATTAGGTATGCAGTTGTATCAACATTATCATTTCTGATTTCCAAGGAGATTTAACCTGTCAAAGTATTGCCGTTTGTGTTTCAACAATTGCAATCAACTGTCACAATTACATAATGGCAAGATATATCTCGGTGTTAACATTATAGTATTAGATACACCAGTCTAGTAGCCAGTTGTTTTAGCATTGGCTTTTTTTTTCATCAGTTGTTTTTTTCTCCTCGTAAGATTTCTTTTAACAACAAGGAACAAACATGGGTTTCATTGTAAAGTTCCCTTTTTTTTTTGGTGACAAAGGTAACACAATCACTGTATATCTTTTGTTGTAAAGCATCGACGAACCATCATTATCATTTTCAAATGTAAGGGATAATACAAAGCACACGTTACTTTGTTTGCGGACTCCATTATTCTTCAAGTTAGAAGTCGGCACCATTAACATATTCATTGAACTTGGATTAAGAAAGAAAATAATAGATAAATGTGTATGAGGAAAAAGACTCGGATTGAATGTCATTTTATATATCTGTTGATTTGTTAGATTCACCATAAAATTTACGAATACTCTGGAATTGTTGTAGCAATTGTAAACAAAAATAAAAGATAACAATTTTGAAACCACATTCTATGATTATTTGGCACACCCAGTGAGCAATATTATCATGTTTCAAAGACACATATGTCATTTTTGGTATTCAATAGATTAATATTTAAAATGACACTGTATAATTGTGATACTTCCGAAGCGGTTTTTTTTTCTGGACTCGCTTTAATCTGGAACACTCAAACCCGGAATATGAAACCCCAAGATGTACAAATCAGTTAACACATGTAACACGTGGATAGCCAAATGCCACAAAATAGGGAACTAAAAAGAACAGTCAACTTTGTTAAAGGTCAACTTTGCCTAAGTGAGTTAGAAACTTTGATCTTTACTAATTTTTAATTTATCAACGGCAAACTTTTAGAAAGATATGTTATACATACTGTCAGTACCCAAGCACTGACTACTGAGGTGACGATACTTCCGATTTCTTGGTCATTTTATATTCTCTGAAACTACAGTTTCAATTTAAACCATATTGGCTTAAATAAAGGCAACAGTATACCGCTGTTCAAAAGTCATAAATCGATTGAGAGAAAAACATATCCGGGTTACAAACCATTCGAATTATATCATCCTTTGAATGTCTAGTTTATAAACCAATCGTGAGGTTCATTCTGATGAACAAATATGCCCCTCTTATTACAATTAAAGAAACATGTTGGTGAATAACAAAAGTAAATGGAAGAACATAAAATTTTAAAAATCTGCTGTTTTGTTTATTGTGCTTCTAAGTAGTGTCAAGATGATATATTATCGTGCAGTGTTCAACGAAATCTGCACAAGTTGCAAATATAGTAAAAAAATATGAATAGTTTTGATGTTTCAAGGTATAATTAAAAGAACTGATACTATTTGAAAACATATACCTATTTTGAGAATTGAGTTTTAATGTCAGATCTGTGATGGTATGTGAAATTTATTTACTACATTCATGGACTCGGGTTGCTTTGGAGTTGGCCACTATATTGTATAGACATTTGTCTATTGTTGTAAACTGTATGTTGCCATTTAAAGGTTATTTGTTTATTTTTTCTTGTTGTATTGCCGTCTTGTTTCACCTTTATTCATTAGCTTATTGATAGCAAAACAGCTAAGTATGACCTTAATCAGTAAGTCTAACCAAAAGAGAAATTACTGATAAATTTTTATTGGTTTCCTAGATAATTTATATCACTGTGAAAAATCAGTTGTGCAACTAATATCATATAAAAAATAAGATGTGATATGATTGCCAATGAGACAACTTTCCACCAGAAACAACTTTAAGTCACCGTACGACCTTCGACAATTCGATAATGTGCAAATTCCATACCGCTTGGTAAGATTCAAAAGGCCCCGAAATGACAACTATAAAACAATTAAAAAGAGACATAAAGCGACAACCACTGAATTACAGGCTCCAAATTTGGGACAGACATATACAGAATGTTGCGGGATTAAACATGTTTGCTGGCGCCGTATATCCGCCTGACAAGGGAATGTGATGTAACAGTACAACATAAGAACAAACTATAAAATTCAGTAGAAAAGGGCTTACAGCCCTTGGATGGTGTAAACTTCCCAAAAAACATGTATGGTGTAATGGTGTATGGCATATGGTGCAATGGTAGAAGGTGTATGGTGCTATGGTGTATGGTGTAAGGGGAATGGTGTAATGGTGTAACGTGCGATCGGGAATGGTGTGAATGAATGGTGTACGACATTTAAAACTATGCAAAATATTGATAAGAACTGATTTTTAATTTCATACATTAATTTACAATATTGTGATCAAAATTCTTTTTTTTTTTAAATGTTTTCAAATGTTTTTTTCTGCAGTCGATTCTTTGGCATTTCAGTATATGATAAACATTTTTGGCATGAATCTGTCTGCCATGGCCTTCGTCGACTTGATTAGCATTTGACGTTGCGGACGTAAACATGTCTCGCAAATGACGTTGCATAATCAACTTTTATTGACGTTGCGTTGTCACGTCATACTGATCTGGTCATGGATGGTCATCAACAAATCCCGTCTGCCTGTACCGTTGTTGTAAGGACAGTAAAACGAGTTTCTGACGTGAAATTGTCTGAAAACAGCACGTTCATGTATTCCTGACTGCAATATTCATATGGCCTGATTCAGATTGTCATTGTTTAGTCACGGCAATATGGGGGTGCAACATTTTTCTAATGATTCAAGTGTCATGAGTGTTGGTATGGATTGAAAAAATTGTTTCACGAAAAAAAATCCTTAAAAAATCATTTATGGGTTTCAAATTTTCGCTTTAAGAAATTCGTGCGACTTCAATAATCCAGAATGTTCACTACCTCAGGTAAGTCAGGTATTGATTTTTTCTAACCATAAAGAAGTATGGTAAGCATGAATAGTAGTTCTATGAGGATCTATCATGATTTGGTAAAAAAAAATCACCAAAATGTGTGTTGCGTTTCTAAAGTCCGTCAGTATATATACAATTGACAAACAAGCTATCTATAAAAAGAATTTTCATATATCATTTACTAAGGAAAATACCTGGACCAAGTCAAGAATATGACAGTTGGTTTCCAGTTGTTCCGTTGGTTGATATAGTCGAACGTTTGGTTTGGCAGTTTGTATAACTTCCCTTTAACTGGGTGTTCGGTATTTTGTTACTTTAGTTGTTTGCCTTGATTATGGCTTATACACGTCCTTGTTAGTAAGTCAAATTTTATTTAAATTGTTTAAATTGAAGGGACAGTTTTAATTGTTTATATTTGTAGGAATATCAAACGTGGCTGTGCACGTGTTTGTGGTTCAACTACAGAAGAATTACTCAAACATCATCAACAATGTAATGTATGAGACAATAGAAGATCATCTAATGGCAAGTGATGTCTTGACAATTGAGGATAACCAAATGGTAAAATCCGGTTCTACCCAGGAACAAAAGAACAGGGAATTAATGGACAAACTTTTGCGCAGAGGTGAAAAAGAATTTACTGAATTTCTGACAGCTTTGCGAGTTGATAATGCAGAATTAGCGGATCAAATAGAAAAAACGGAAGTTACAAGCAGAAATATTTCAACCATTCAAAGTTGCTACAAACAATCCGAGGGAATATAGTTTGAAGAATTCTGTACTTGAAAAACTATGTAAATTAATACAAATTGAAAATATGACAAATTTCTGCTCATAAACATAAGGGAAAGTCCAGTAAAGTCAATTTCTTGTGCTTTAAATACAAAAAAAAACATGAACGGGATATATCACATTACATCGTTTATATGTTTACAATGCATAATTATGTAAGACAGCAGTACTACTAAAATCAAATGTTGCATGTCCAATACTGATAATACTAAAATCAAATGTTGTAATCTATAAAAAGTCTCCTATAACATTTGTGATTTAAACCATGAAGATCGACCAACCTGACCACTGCGTCTTAACAAAAAACATAGGGGGTACATTGCGTAATTAGGCTTATATCTCAAAAACTAAAGCAATTTGTGACAATCAGCATTGAAACGATGGTCAGCACAATACGGTTAAACAATGTAGAAAATTGTATTTGAATAATTTGTCAACCTGTCTTAAAGTTATTGCCCTGAAATGTTTTTTTTTTCTTCTTTTTTCTTAGTTTTTGACTGTTATGTTGAAAAAGATAGGATCAAAATTAAAAGTGTAAATTACAAAACATATTCAACACAGCAATACTAATTTACTTCAGCAATTTCAGAAAATAGGGAATTATTACCCCTTAGAGAGTACTTTTTACCGATATTTACAGTTTTATTCACAGTTTGTGTTACTGGTATCTTAAAACTATTGGCGCTAGGTTGAAATGGAAACTGTGACAAAGTGATTAGCACACAATATTTACATGATTTATGTACCTAGAAAATCTGGTTACTACTTTTACATGTTTTGGGGGTGTTGTCTCTAATGTCAATATATACAGATTTTCACATTTTCCATGTTTTAAGTAAATTTGGTAACATTGACTTTTATTACTTGAGAAACTGATGTTGTTTTTATTTTTAATAGAAAAATATACAGTGTTCTCATTATGTTGCTTTCTGTAGATAAATAGATATATGGAAAATTAAAGGAAATATGTTAAATTGCAAATATTAATTTTGACCGATTTTGGCAGTTTTTGGCTATTATATTGTATATTATTTGAGATAGGTTAAGAATGTAAAATGTAGAATATTATCTATCAGCTCATTCACTGATCTGATTTTTAAAAATTCACCTAAACCGCATAGTTGATAAGGATAACTATACATAAAAGTGTATGATAATGTTTCAAGTTTAGCTCAGTTATGAGCTTTTGGTATCGTTTGGTGACCCTTTTTAAAAAATCATCTCCTCTTAAATTACTAGACTAATTTGAATGATGTTTAACGTGATTCATGTTTTGGTATCTATAATTTTTTTATATCTAGAATTTTTGTTAAGTCAACATGACATATATAAAGGGGCATATTTTAAGTAAATTTGGTAACATTGACTTTTATTACTTGAGAAACTGATGTTGTTTTTATTTTTAATAGAAAAATATACAGTGTTCTCATTATGTTGCTTTCTGTAGATAAATAGAGTTTCAAACTTGCTTCTTATGTCATTTTTCCATGTGGCACGTTTTGCAAGAAATAAAGTTTTGAACAGTAATTTTAGGAAAACAAGTGCAAAACATAAGTATTAACTATGAACACATTCTCGTAGGAACATTTTCATTTGGAAATGATTTTCTTGTAAAGTTATGAACATTTACTTTCTCAAATAGGAATCAAAGTATTGGGTCACATGATACTACCGCACCCGATTTAATGTAACAAATTCAATGTTTTGATTATGCATTTGGGGTGGCTACTTTGAGTAGCAAAAAGAGGATTGAGTTTGATATGTCTGAAGATTCTATAAATATATGTTTTTCCTGAATCATTACATCAATGTAAATGTGGATTATTTGTAAATATAAGCGATTAAGGAATCTTTGAACATCTAAACATGTTTATATTGAGATGATGGGCTCACGAATCATTGTAAATAAAAATGGTTATATAATCTTATAAGCTTTTTTTGTATAATTCCACCTTATGCAATAATGCTGTATTTTGATTGGATGAGTGGTATTTTTCACAAATTTTCTATATATTGAGATTTTCTTTTCTCTGTCGGTTTATTTGTCATAAGGGAATTCCATGTGCCGGGGTATATGCTAGCAAATACCATGGCAGATAGGAAATACCATGTCTAAAAATAACGTGACGTCTGAAGACCTCTGGACTTTTCGTTGAGATGGATACAAAGAACATTCGGTGGAATTAAACAATTATATCATTCTTACAACGAGTATTTTTCCAAAAATACCGGTTTCGAGGTATACAAATTTCCTTCGCCTAACGGCTCTGTGATATTCAAATTTATTTAGTGCTGATTTTAGTGTTTGATGTACTTGTTTGCCTCTTGTCATCATGGTCATGATGTGTACTTGCCAATAAAATAGTGAACGAAATGTAAATTGTTTTAAATTATATATGAAAGTGATCGATAATCGGTTGCTGAAAACCGAAATGCATTAAACAATATTGTGGTCTGAAAATAAACAAGTTATACATGTTGTACCTGTCAAGATCATCCTTCAGTGTTTAAATTTTAAATGATGTCATCTCAACTTCTAATGCGATTGCCAATATACGTTGAGTGGTTTCATGTCGTTCCAGTCTAAGTCCTAAGGTCGACCTGTTCCATATTTTGGTTCCGATTTGGCAACAAATAAAAATTGAAAGTTACATATGGTTTACAATTTTTCATACTTCAGTACAAGCGTTACATACTATTGATTCATTATTATTCTTGGGATACCTATTTTCGTGAATTTCTTGGGCACTGGTGTTTTCTAGAATAGAAGTTTTCTAAAGGCTTTAAAGTATACTTTCGAAAAACTATGAAATGAAACGTCCACGAAAATACATATTTTCCTCAATCCACGAAAATTGGTATCTATGAAAATGTATAAATCTACAGAAGTGAAACGTTTTGAATATTTCAAAGAAAGGTAGACATTTTATAATAAATTGAAACGATGTTCGATCTGTTTCCATAAATTGGATAAATTACAAAAACAAAATACAGACTATAACTGTTTCTGTGTGTTTATATTTGAAGTAAAATAAGCACAACTCATTTTTTTTTGTATTCTCAATAGAGTTAGAGCAACACATCTTTACTGTGTGTTATTGGTATTATTCCTGAAATGATATGTGACAGTTTTTGAAGAAAACAAAGAAATTTAATATTTATTAGAACTACAATTCCTATTGTTAAAACCTGCTATTAATTAAATTAACTAATTATAATAAAATTGAGAATGGAAATGGGGAATTTGTCAAAGAGACAACAACCCGACCACAGAGCAGACAACATGTTAGTGAAGTTACATTAGTACACGGACCGCATACAATTGTTGAATAAACAAACCAATGTTTATCAACTTATCGTCCGATAAAATATCGTAAACTTCACTTCCTTATAAATGCCATAGAACAGACTGTTTCTGTGTACTAAATAAAAATGCATTAATGGTCACAAGGTTAAGATGAAATTATGAGTGTCAGGCCACTGATTCACGCGGCTTATATAGATTTTTTTCTTAAAGTAGCCTCACTCGTACAAACAATAGTGTTTGTGATGCCATCGATTACTTAAAACCAACCAACAAACTTATTAAACAGAACTGAATCTTTTGGCGAAAGAGAAATATATTTTGACCCTTTTGGGCCAAAATTTAAAACTTGAGGATAAATGCGCTCCATAGTATACTTATGTAAGATTTTCAAAAGACAATTCGTTATTTTTAGTAGTACAAAAATGTAGTTGACTTCCGAACGGTCGTGTTTCACTATTAGACTTTAAAAATTGGTTGAAAATTGGCGTATACGAAGGTGATAGATATACAAATCAGGATATACCTGTTTTCTATGAAGTTAAACTCAAGGTAATTCATTTAGAAAGCTGTAAAAATTTAAAAATTTGGTTGATTATATATAGGTTTCACCTGTTATCAAGATATAATGAACAATAACTGTCAACGGCTATATTCTAATACAAATGTGTGTCCCAAAATTAGTGTGACATATGATTAGATTTCACAAAGCGAGTGTCTTTAACACAGGACTCATAAGTGGCGCTCGATTCAAAACAGGCCAAACCAATAAAGAACCAATTAGTTTTATTTATGCTGTCCTCTCATGTTTTATCAGCTTTGTTGAAGGGAATGTAAGGAGTGTCCATTTTTTTTAAAAAATAAACATAGATGGTATATCGAAAACACATGTTTCTTTGAATTTCAAGTTCATTATTATATTTCACACTGTTAGGTTAATATAAATGCCCATTGCTGTTCATACCTACATATTGAATACTAATGACGTTGGTTGTATTTGGTCTTTGACACATCTTCCGTTTTCCTTGAATACGAATGCCAATGGAGTGTTCGGAAGTAAGCAAAAGTGGTATGAATTTTTGTTTGTTTGTCCAGGTTGATATTCTGTGTTTTTTTTTATAAACTTGCAATTACAATTCCGAATGGATTACTGAAAAAAAGTAAAAGAGATTGCTCAGTTTGGGGATGATGTAACGTCAGAAAGAAGTTCGTATGGATAATATGAAAAATGCCGACCAAGACGGGTGATTACGTTTTTTTTTAGTTTTAAAGATCCATCTAAACTGGAAATGATCATCATAGAAATGTTATGGTGTTAAAATTATTTAGATACCTTCTCCAATCAACGACTTTTGTCAAACATGCATCTCCTAACATTTTACGTATGCATATATTATAATTACAAACATACACAAATGCATACATATATGATACAGATCAATGCACATAGAAATTATCCTCGCCGACCACCAATCTATCCGCACTGTATCGGACATTTGATAGCAATAAGAATCTATGATAGGTTTTCAGTACACATTGGCGTATGGCTAAGAGTAACCGCGGTGACAACCAGTCCAGCTGCAAAGGTACCGACCCTGTCGTAGCAATACAGGAACATGACATATACAAAACCGTCTGCTAGTAGCAATGATTTCGGGTAAAATGGCTCGCAGCTTTGGCTAGACCTTCCTGATGTTTCATTTTTCAATAAATAAGGTCTAGAGGTAGAATATATATAGATATACATGCCATCAATAGGTATAGACGGAAACATTTTGTTTTCAATCTGTACGGTTGGCTGAAAGTTTAACTAATTTGATATTAAAGATATCTTGCGAAAAACTACTGGAGACCGCTTAAATGACTGTGATATATACCATCTTAATCTTTCAGTGTCGATAAAATGGGTCTTCCTTCTCTCCTTTAGTAGCAACATAAAGGGCAAGGATAATGTTTAATGTTTATACTGGTTACTCAATCTCCACAAAAGTTCTTATAAAGAACGATATATAATAGCTAGGTCAACAAGATGTTCGACTTAAATCTTTCTAATTTTTTATCAGCATTCATTCTACATTTCAAAACCGCCTTCAGAAAAAAATGTGAAGAGGTATTTCCAACCAGCGGTCTCAATCAGATGTGGATTGCCCAAAATTCTAAAGATCTTTTCTAAAATATTAAATTACAATCTTTAATTTTTTTCAGTATTATCACAAATTTAGATTTTTCTAAGATATACACTAATATTCCCAATAAACAATTGAAAGATCGACTGCATCGTCTTAACAGATTTTTTCTGTAACATTGTGAAATGTAGATACATATTCCTTGTTTTAGGTCAAGAACAAATCCTACTCTGTAAAGAAACACACCGATTCCGACAACACATACATCGAAGAGGATATAATCAAAATGCTGGAATTTTTAGTGCACAACATACGGTATTTGTTGAGTTTGGTGAATTGATATTTCAGCAGACAGTCAATTTTCTAATGAGTACTTCATGCACACAACTAATAGCTGACTTGTTTTTGTATTCATTGGAAGTCGAATTCAAACAGAACCTTCTCAAAGACAAAAAGAAAAAAAGCAGATTGCAAAGTTGACGATGCTCTTGCACTTAATTACCCATATTTTAATGACTGATTTGATCTCATAGTGTCAAGTGAACTTAAAATACCAAATCTTCTTATTTCTATTAAGAATATAATAAGGACATTTCCGAAAGTAGTAGGTTTCATTCATATCTTGATATTACCCTCTATATGGACACAAACATGACAAATGAATGATATCAAACTAGAATTTATGACAAACGGTGATTTCATCTTTCCAATTGTCATCTCCCCATTTCTCAGCAGTACTATACCATCTGTTAAATTATAGGACGTGTTAATATCTCAGTGCATACGTACGTTACGCTCGTCTATGAACAAACTATACTCCTAACACAAAAACTGTACCAAAAGAGTTGAAGATGAACGACTGAACTCGACACAACATACATTTATAGGTCCAAATCACGAATTAGTTACACGAATCACGATCTGATGTGTCGGTATTTCAACTCGATCACTAGCGACATGTGTTCACGTCTACCAGAATAGACGTGTTGTCTGTAATTTTACCGATTCTGTCTTCTTCTCGATTGTGACATTTTAACTGAGCGTGGATTCGTATGCCGGGTGGTGCATGCATAGCAGGGTGGCATACCCTGTTGACACACCTGCTCTCGCATCTTTTTGAGTTCATACGATTTTTTCTTTGTTTGTTTATTACTTGAGTTGTTATTAGATCTACGATTTGAAATCTTGGTAAACTACAGTCGCCTAAATTTATACTAAATTTTGGTATAAATACAAATTCTAACAAACAAATTTCTCGTTTTGTCCTAAATATGTTAGAAACAAAATCGAAAAGATGCAGGTAAAATGATAAAAGGCTTGGGTTGGACTTTCCTTCCCTTTTAATCTTCCTCAAACTGGTTACGTGACAGATAACATAAACATACATTTGCCATCAGACTGAATGGATGAAATCGTTTTGTGTTCGATATGTTCATATCGCAAGTTTGGTAATCTAGATATGAAGAAAAATTTCTACCGGAAATGGCTTAAGTGCAATTACCCACCAAAGTGCAAATGACGGGGATGTAATACTCATACCGTTTAGTCTAGTTAAAGAGACCACAACATGCAATATTTGAAATATGTCAAACGAGAAACCAACGGCCTGGTATATGACTAAAGAATATACGAAAAACAAACAAGGCAGACAACAACAAATGACAACCACGTTACATGCATGCATAATTTGGCGGGGTAACAAGTGCCTTATTGCTCAAACATGCCCTTACCTGGGACAGTGGTGAAACAGCAAAACATGAGAACAGAATTGGTGTAAAATCTACAGTTATCCTTGTCAACTTTATTCTCTCTGAAAGAAGTAGGACCAATCTCCCCTGTATTCGTTTCCCTCACAGGTAAACATCTTGTAAAAAGTTATAAAATTCTAATTGAAATTGAGTTTTAAAATAATCTGTAACGTATACCATGTATACGTTACGTATA